TCGTAGCAGGAAGACCCCGCTTAGGTGGACCATAGCATACAAGCAGTTGGTCCGCCCTTCTCCACAGGGCAGCTCTGTGGATGTATGTGTTGCACATGCAGTTAAGCTTCTGCTGGTCAGGCTCCCTGAAGGGAGGAGGTCAGAAGGTCTATAGCACGGTAGGCTGTGGTGTAACAGAGGGAACCTTAGGGACATACCCCGCACGAGGGTAGAGGAATACTTTGGCCATGCCGGGCGCAAAGTCAAGATACGAAGGGGCCACTGAGAGGGCCTGAAGATCCCCAACTCTTTTTAGAGAAGTAATCGCCAGAAGTAGGGCAGTTTTAATGGTGAGATAGCGATAAGAAATTTCTTCAATAGGCTCGAATGAAGACTTACAAAGAGCTTCTAGCACCACAGCCAGGTCCCACGTGGGGACGCGAGATCGTATTGGGGGCCTCAGCGCACCGCGGAGGAAATGTGTAACTAGGGGGTGTCTGCCCACTGACTGGCCACCGAGCGGGGCGTGGTAGGCCGCAATGGCCGCCACGTAGACCTTCAGGGTGGAGTGAGTTAGCCCTGCAGAGAAACGGGCCTGCAGGAACTCCAGCACTATAACAACTGGGCAGTTAACTGGGTCAAGCTGGCGATCTCTGCACCAAGTAGTGAAAAGCTTCCACTTCAGGGCATACAGTTTCCTCGTTGAGGGAGTTCTGGATTGGAGGATGGTCTCAACAACCTTGGTTGTGTCCCCTCAGAGGCCACACCCATAACTTCCACAGCTGGAAGTGCATATGGGCCCAGGGGTGAAAGATCGTACCCTCCGCCTGTGAGAGGAGGTCCCTCCTGACGGGAATCTCCCAGTCTTCCCACTGAGATGCCACCGAGAGGGGCGTGGTAGGCCGCAATGGCCGCCACGTAAACCTTCAGGGTGGAGTGGGTTAACCCTGTAGAGAAACGGGCCTGCAGGAACTCCAGTACTGTACCGACTGGGCAGTTAGCTGGGTTGAGCTGGCGGTCTCTACACCAGGAAGTGAAAAGTTTCCACTTCAAGGCGTACAGTTTCCTCGTAGAGGGAGCTCTGGATTGGAGGATGGTCTCAACAACCTCGGCTGAGATACCGGAAGCTACGAGCTGTGCCCCCTCAGGGGGTACACCCACAACTTCCACAGCTCCGGGCAGGGGTGGACGATCGTACCTTCTGCCTGAGAGAGGAGATCTCTCCTGACAAGAATCTCCCATGGAGAGCCGTCGAGGAGAGAAATCAGGTCCGAGAACCATACTCGGCCCGGCCAGAATGGGGCTACTAGCAGCAGACGGACCCCATCCCGGCGCACTCTCTCCAGAACTCCCAGGAGCAGAGTAATCAGGGGAAAGGCGTACAGACGAAGCCTCGGCCACGTCTGTACCATGGCATCCAGTCCAAGAGGAGCTGGATGAGTCAGAGAGAACCAGAGGGAACAGTGTGATGTCTCCTGAGTCGCAAACAGGTCCACCTGAGCCTGTCCAAACAGTCTCCAAATCTGACCCACCACATCTGGGTGGAGTCTCCATTCCCCGGGCCTCGGCCCCTGCCTCGACAAGATGTCTGCTCCTTGATTGAGATGCCCAGGGATGTGTACTGCTTTCAGCGAGAGGAGTTTCCCTTGGGCCCACACAAGGATCTAGTGCGCCAGCCTGTAAAGGGGGCACGAACGCAGACCTCCCTGGTGGTTGATGTAAGAGACCACCGCTGTGTTGTCGGTGCACCAACACATGGTGGCCTCTTAGGTTCGGGAGAAAGTGTTTCAACGCTAGAAACACGGCCAGCATCTCCAGGCAGTTGATGTGCCACGTGAGATGGTGGACGCTCCACAGACCACGGGCTGAGCGACCACTCATGACCGCTCCCCAACCGGTGAGGGACGCATCCGTCGTTAACATTACGCGACAACAAGGAGCTCCCAGAACCGGGCCCTGAGACAAGAACCAAGGCTTCCTCCACATGTCCACGGCACATAGACATCGCCGTGTGACCTTGATCATGCGAAGTGGATTTCCCCTCAGGGCGAGGGGAGATCAGAGGACTCATAACAGATGGAGATGGCATCCACTATCCACCGACTGAGGGTTTGCTTAGTTGCTGGAAGACCTCTCTTAGGGGGACCGTAGCACACAAGCAACTGGTCCGCCCTCCTCCACAGGGCAGCTCTGTGGACGTATGCATCCAGTGCTCGCACTGGACACATACAGTTAAGCTTCTGCTGGTCTGGTTCCCTGAAGGGAGGAGGACTGAAGGCCTGAAGTATAATGGGCTGTGGTGCTGATGAGGGGACTTTTGGGACATACCCCACACGAGGGTACAGAAATGCTTTGGCCAGACCGGGCGCAAAGTCAAGATAGGAAGGGGCCACAGAAAGGGCCTGTAAATCCCCAACTCTCTTAAGAGAAGATATCGCCAGAAGAAAGGTAGTCTTTATCGTAAGGTGGCGATCAGAAATCTCTTCGATAGGTTCGAATGGAGGCTTACAGAGAGCTTCTAGCACCACTGCTAGGTCCCATGTAGGGACACGAGATCGTACCCGAGGCCTCAGCCTCAGCGCACCGCGGAGGAAACGTGTAACCAGGGGGTGTCTCCCCACTGAGATGCCACCGAGAGGGGCGTGGTAGGCCGCAATGGCCGCCACGTAGACCTTCAGGGTGGAGTGAGTTAGCCCTGCAGAGAAACGGGCCTGCAGGAACTCCAGCACTATAACAACTGGGCAGTTAACTGGGTCAAGCTGGCGATCTCTGCACCAAGTAGTGAAAAGTTTCCACTTCAAGGCGTACAGTTTCCTCGTAGAGGGAGCTCTGGATTGGAGGATGGTCTCAACAACCTCGGCTGAGATACCGGAAGCTACGAGCTGTGCCCCCTCAGGGGGTACACCCACAACTTCCACAGCTCCGGGCAGGGGTGGACGATCGTACCTTCTGCCTGAGAGAGGAGATCTCTCCTGACAAGAATCTCCCATGGAGAGCCGTCGAGGAGAGAAATCAGGTCCGAGAACCATACTCGGCCCGCCCAGAACGGGGCTACTAGAAGTAGACGGAGCCCGTCCCAGCGCACTCTCTCCAGAACTCCCGGGAGCAGAGTGATCGGGGCAAAGGCGTACAGACGAAGCCTCGGCCAAGTCTGTACCATAGCATCCAGCCCCAGTGGAGCCAAATGAGTCAGAGAGAACCAGAGGGGACAATGCAATGTCATCTGAGTCGCAAACAGGTCCACCAGAGCCTGGCCAAACATTATCCATATCTGCTTCACCACCTCGGGGTGAAGCCTCCATTCCCCAGGCCTTGGCCCCTGCCTCGACAGGATGTCTGCTCCCATATTCAGATGCACAGGAATATGTACTGCTCTCAATGAAAGGATTTTTCCCTGGGACCACACACGGATCTGGTGCGCCAGCTTGTATAAGGGGCGCGAACGCAGACCTCCCTGGTGGTTAATATAAGAGACCACCGCTGTGTTGTCGTTGCGCACCAACACATGACAATCTCTCAGGTCCGGGAGGAAGGGCTTCAAAGCTTGAAAAACAGCCAGCTTCTCCAGACAGTTGATGTGCCACGTGAGATGGCGACCCCTCCACAGACCGTGGGCAGGGTGGCCACTCATGGCCGCACCCCAACCGGTGAGGGACGCATCCGTCGCTAGCGTTACGCGGTGACAAGGAGCTCCCAAGACCGGGCCCTGAGACAAGAACCAAGGTTTCCTCCACATGTCCAAGACACGTAGGCATCACCGCGTGACCTTGATCATGCAAAGCGGGTTTACCCTCGGGGAGAACCCCTTGGTCATGAGCCACCACTGTAGGGGTCTCATGTACAGCAGGCCAAAAGGTATCACGTTGGACGCAGCTGCCATCAGACCCAGCAGTTTCTGAAACTGCTTGACAGTGAGTGACCGGCCTTCTCTGACTCTCGCGACTGCAGTGAGGATCGACTCGATCTGAGCAGGGGACAATCGTGCCTGCATCGTGGTCGAATCCCACAACACGCCCAGATAAGTGGTCCTCTGTAATGGAGAAAGCACACTTTTCCAACTTTCCCATATGGGTGAGAATGACATCTCGATGTCGAAACACCGTCTGCTCTGATTGAGCTAGAATCAACCAATCATTGATATAATTTAGCATGCGGATGCCCTGTAGTCGCAGTGGAGCTAGAGCAGCATCTACACACTTCGTGAAAGTGCGGGGTGAGAGTGCTAGGCCGAAAGGAAGAACTCAATATTGGTAAGGTTTTTTTTTCTTAAGTGTTTAAAATGGCTCTTTTAAGAGCAAACCACTACCTCGTAATAAAGAGTGCTTTTTTTTCTGTCTAATGAGAGTGCCATGGCAGCAAAATAATGGCTCTTAGTCTCTGTAACTTATTGTGTGTTTCCCCTCTACTCCATTATTCTCGTCAGTATATAAAATAATTGTATTATGCATATGATAAAAATCTTGAGTCTTCAGTGAGTTATTTTTTTCTGTACGTGAAAGCGTTTGACAGGTCTGAAGTGTCCAATATTACACTTCAGGTTTTATTATCGTAATTGTATTACTAAAGCAAATTAAGGTAACGGTTTAGGTTGTTTTAAATTATTGATGTTGATTCGAAAAGAAAGATACTAGACACAAAGTAATTTATAAAACTAATGTCACAGTGCTTTGGTGACTGTTAACAAAATAAATACAATTGTGTTATAAGTGTTCAGCGTTCAGTGTTTCAAGTCAAGTCACAGCGCTTTTAACAATACAGATTGTGTCAAAGCAACTTTGCAGTATTAAATAGGAATTATAGATTATTATAGTCCTTATAGATATTTTCAGTATTATAGAATAATACATTTCATTAAATAAATAAATACGTAAATTTACTAATTTGAACCCAGTTTATTTCCACTACAATCGAACATTGGAAGACACTGGACTCGGATTAGACGTAACGGGTGACGTTTAGCAGAACCGCCCATTATTGTGGTTTCACCTAGGTCCTTTAGAGAAATATAAACGCCCGTTTCTGGAGAGCGTGATTCGAGATGCTGTGTCCTACACTGAGCGCTAAAAGAAAGACCGTCAGCGCCATGGATGTGGTGTATGCTCTGAAGCGACAGGGACGCACTCTGTACGGATTCGGAGGCTAAGCGGTTCCTGGAGAAAACACAACCCCAGCGGCTCTTTTAAAAGACACACACGATTTCACACAAAGAACACGTTTCTGAATATAATTTACTACATAATATAATACATAACATAACTTTTAGTTTGTTTGCAAAAGTTGAGTTTTGGCTATTTTGTCATTACTGGTATATTTTAATAGATGTAGTTTCTAGTGTAAACGTAATGCAATCCAACGTTTGAAGGAATAAGCGCTGTTCTATAATTGAGATCTAGGTATCAGTGGAACTGAATATTTTTCTTATTCTAATTATACGCGGAAATAAAATAGAATCATTGGCTCCTTCGTTATTGTATTATATTTAGGTGCAAAACCTGAAAAAAATGCGGGGAAATCAAACAAAGGACCCGGATGGTAGATGTACCGCTTGAGGTGATGGGCGGGATTAACTTTTCAAAGCCTCTGATTGGCTTTGATGTGGCCAATGAAATCACTCTGTGAGTTGGTCAATGGAGACACGCAATCACAGACCGCCGTGTTCCCCTTTCTAAATTAGCATAGAGCTGTGCATAAAGACCCGTGTGTTCTGGAGAATATTATTCAGATTTGAGTGTTTCAGTGTTTTGGAGAAGTTCATTCAACTTGGAGTGTTTCTGAAGATAGCATTATGCCAGATCCAGCGAAATCCGCTCCCAAGAAGCGCTCAAAGAAGGCCGTCACTAAGACTGCAGCGAAGAGAGGAAAGAAGCGCAGGAGGTCCAGGAAGGAGAGCTACGCTATCTACGTCTACAAAGTGCTGAAGCAGGTTCATCCTGACACCGGGATCTCCTCCAAGGCGATGGGCATCATGAACTCTTTCGTCAACGACATCTTCGAGCGCATCGCCGGTGAGTCGTCTCGTCTCGCTCACTACAACAAGCGCTCCACCATCAGCTCGAGAGAGATCCAGACCGCCGTGCGTCTGCTGCTGCCCGGAGAGCTGGCCAAGCACGCCGTGTCTGAGGCACCAAGGCCGTCACCAAGTACACCAGCTCCAAGTAAAGCTTCAGCTGATCCACGAACCCAAAGGCTCTTTTAAGAGCCACCCATACTATCTTTAAACGAGCTTTCTTTGTTAAATGAAAGGAACACCATTATTAGTTTTCCTTCTGCACAATTTAGCTCTGTGTTGACTGTTCTCTGTTTTTCAGTAGTACAAACCTTCATGTGACAGACCGAAATAATCAATCAAGATGTTATTGTTTCATAGTGACATAACAAATTTATATAACCGTTAATTCATAATCTGATTTTTTTTTTTTTTTTATATATATTTTCTCCAGATCATGTACTTTTGCAGTCATGGTAGAACAAGGTGTGTGTATGTGTATGTATGTATGTGTGTATATAGTCATGTATGATTTTTTGGAAAAAATAACTCAAGCTGTCTCATTTGTTAGTGGATTGGTTACACTGCATTTTATAGATTTATTACACATGGACACAAAATTTCACAATAACAAAAATAAGATTAAAGAGATTACAAAATTATTAATTAAAGGCACAATCTGT